AAAATTTTCATAAACCCTTGAAGGGTATTTTCCACATAATCATAAACCCTTCAAGGGTTTATGAAAATTTTTAAAAACGGAAAAAGGGTTTATTATACGTTGCACTTTCGTCAACCCTTAAGGGTTTAGTATTCTACGAATTTTTTCACAGTGTGGGTAGCTCTCTCTGAACTATACCTGAGATTCACTATATTAGAATGGTTTTTATCTCGTTCTGTACAAAATTTGGTGCTCTTCCAGATGAAACTATTTACAACCAGATAAACAAATCTTTTTGATCAAATAGGTACATCAGGATATTACGGAAATAGAGATCACAAAACTTTCTACTAAACGTTTCAATTTCGATAACAAAAAATTTGACGTATAAATTATTACATCACAGTCTGCGTACTTCTTACTCTAAATCTAAAATGTCGATCGGCCAGTTTACCATTTGTTATTCGAATTACGGTCTGTAAAAAAAATTCGTCTAAAATAATTGTGTTTCATGGAAAAAATATTGAAATGAAAGAAATAATAAGTATTCGTTGAATAAAAGAAAACATATCTCATTAATTTAAAAGTTAATAAAATTTTATTTTCATATTCAGTAAATAAAAGCAAAATAATTATTTTAATTTAAGATTTTCTTTCAAATGGAATATTAAATTAATTAGGAAAACATCAAAGCGGCTGTTTAAATTTTTTTTAAACAGTTAATTTACAAAGATTTATTTCGTTCAATTAAATAAACTTTAACACAATATAATTTGAATCGAAAACATAAATATGTTAATCCTATTGGAAAAGTAAAAACGAAAATTTTTTTCTGATGTGTATTGATTGTGAATAATCATAAATAATTTTTCAAAAAATAAAATCCAAGTTGATATTATTTTCTTTTACATCGTTGAGATTCTCACCAGTAAATAAATACTAATTGCCAATGCTGTTAAAGAAAACAATCCAATTATGATTACAATTATAATAAATAATCCAGTTGGACATGCTCTGTCTCTTTTATTATCATCATTTGAATTTTTCCTGAAAATTTCATATAAGCCATTATCATAATTAGATGGATAACCATGGGCTGAATATGAATTTCTTGGAATAATATCTCCACTATTATCTTTCAGTGGTTCATGATACATACGATTTCTATTTTAAAAAATGTTTATTTTTTTTTCTTTTTCCTTTAATTAATTATTTAACAAGTAAACAAACTTTGTTCGTCCATTTAATGAATTATCAATGCTATTTGAGACAATTGATTGATTCGACATAGGAATTTCTTGATGATTCATTTCATTATTCATTATTTGTGCTCTTGTTGATAATGGTGGAAAATTCATTGAACGACTTTGTATTGTTGTTGGACTTACGTAACGACTCGGGGGATAATTATCAGCATATTGATGTCCTTCGTCGATCATTGGAATTTTCTTTAAAAAAATAAGATGAGTCTTTTAATTTCTATTGATGAAAAATACCTTGGATGAATATTGATTTGGAAGAATTCGTGGAACAACAGATGCATAAGGAGATACATACGGATCCATTTTTTCTCTAGTTTAATTCGATAAAATGAAGAATAAAATTCACTAAAGAATATTGTTTTTTTCTTTTGTTCTTTACTTTTTCGTTGTTATTGCTGACTTTTCGAAAGAAATTCTATTTGTGAGATGAATCAAACTCAATGAAACCTTTCTCATATTCATCAGAAGTCTATTTGGTTGGCTTTTAATTATAAATAATAATGTTTCACAATGAAAACAAAATTTCTGCAGTAAGATCCAAAGGAAAATCTGTCATGAAAAAGTTTTAAAAATTTCGTTTGATGATTTATCTAATTATATTTTTTTAAAGTCATTTACATTTTATTTATTTGATTAGATAATAATTTTAATTGCTCACTGTCAAAGATTTATCAAACGAAAAATAATTTAATCTTCAACTTAATTCTTCTATTGAAAACGAAAAAGAAAAAGAAATTGAGAAGAAACACTACAATTTCTGATTATTTTTATTCTACACTCAAAATACCTCTTTGTGATTTTGCAGAGTCAATAACGGTAACACTTTTTTTCAGCAATATTTTCTCGACTTAAAGTTTTACTAGTTTAAGAAGAATAATTTAATATATACAATAAACAATAAATAATAATATTTCTTATCGAATGATTTTTTGATCATTTTTTATTTCATACGACAAGTTATTTCGTCTGATATATTTTTTCGTTTATTTTCTCTTTTCAGTCAATCATCAATAATATTATTAATAGATGACTGATCAATCATTCTGTTTTTTTCTTTTAGAACTGAAAATATCGATAAAAGATGAAACTTCGAAATAATAATTTTTACTCATCAGTTTATCTTCATTAAGTTTCTATCTAACTAAAACAAATTCATATAAACATTAAATATATTAAGAAGATGTGTTTTTTGTATTCTTAATGTTAATGAATTTGATATGAACTATTCGTTTTAGATTAATAATGAAATATTAAATGTATAGAAATCAATCGAATAAATTTATTTACTTCAATTTGTTCATCGATTAAGTCGAAGTTTATTTCAAGAAAAAAAATCTATTCATTTTGGCGAGAAAATATTTATTATTTAAAAAAAAGAAATGAAAGTTAATTGTGAAATAATTAATCGATTGAAATATTCCAAGGAAAACTAAACAGAACGCATGAAAGAACCAAATTCCCCTTGATCAATTCTTCCATCACTATTGACATCAGCAAAATGAAACATAGCAGCTGCTGGATCATATTGATTACTTGTTCTTGCAACGTGTGGTGCACCAATACCAACGTCTGGACCAACACCATATGTATGACCTTTGGTTGAATTTGCAGATTGAGTATATTTTTCATATTCAATAGGATTTTGTGTAAAACCAGCAACAGCAACGTCGAGACCAATTTCATATGTTAATGTTTCAGTTGGACCAGCAGAGTCTGCAGACTTTTTTTTGGAGAAAAGATTTTAAAGATTTTACTTAAAAAAATATTAACTTACAGAAAAAGCTTCACCATTATGATTTGTATCGGCGTGATGAAAGCTTGATCGATGATTTCCTTCAGAACTCATGTTTAAGCTGCTTTTTTTAATAGTAACTACAATAATTAATCGAACGAATATAGCTATTTTTCACTAGCCTATATACTTGTTTTACTCAACGTTCATTCTTACTCAACCGTAAAAAATACTTTTGATATTTGTTTTTATTTTTTATATCATAAAAGAAAAGAAAATTTTCGAATATTCTCGACTCATTAATCAACATTCCTTTTCTCTTATATTTTTCTCGTCGTTATTCTAATTTTACATACGCAATTATAGATGATTATCAACATGATCATGTCAAAATATTTTTCTGTATCGATAAATATTAGAAAAACAACAACAAATAAATGTTTATCAAGTACATGCATATTTTTTTCACAATCACTCTATGATTCGATGTTATTATTTACTTGAAATAATAACAAATAATATTTAAATTCAATCTCTGAATTTTTCTCTTTCAGAAAATATTAGTTATAATTTGATTCACAATCCAAAAAGGATCTCTTCATTGTTGTTGTTGTTGTTGTTGTTCGATGCGAAGTAATATAAATCTAACTGAAAAATTTGATTCAAAACAACATTTCGTTTACAATACTATCAACTGAATTCAAATTTCTCAATGATTCTTTAGTAATAATTGGATATAATATTAAAAAAAATTATCGAAAATATGACTTAATAAGCCTTGATAGAAAAAAAAAGAATATTTGTATTCATGGACATATTGAGAACAGTCATTATGACCTTCTCAGATGCCGGTACAGAGCTACAGATCATGACGTGAATTTGGGTAGTTTAAGACACGCTTTTAATAAGGGATTACAACAGCATGAACAATTTAAAATCAAATCTATTTCTTACCAGATTGTAAGCTAGTAAATACTCTCGTACATGGCGAGATGGAAATATATTTTAAGGAAGAGAGAGTTTCTCATAATAAAAAGGACCACAGTTTCTTGTTTCTTTATTTCTATTTTTAACAACGGATGAAATTTGTAACTAGTAAATTAATTTAACTGTCTGTGATCGAAATTATCTAAAGTTTCAACTAATTGAAGAATTTGATTGACATATGATTGTTCTTTTACTGATTGCATGAGAATTGCAAACATGGTTTTGAAATGTATCGCGCTTTTCCCTAACCTTGCGTCCAGGATGTGTGAGACAAAGAAAGCACCTTTTTTCTTTTGACAAGGTCATCGTTTTGATTTTCAGTTATGGAAATTTCCCGGTCAAGCTTGTATCCAAGAGATTGTAGTGCAAGTTTCGTTCTCATTCAGCACGACGCTCATTGTGAGACTTAGTAAGAGATTTTTTCAATTGTCCTAAAAAAAGTCCGATGGATCATCTTCTTTTGAATTAAATTCATCAGCGGATGTGTCATCGAATTCTGTTTCAACATCTAAATTTCTCTTTAGATTTGGTTTACTTGCCATTTTTTAGAATTCAGTACCTGTCGAGCTCTACAGACGGAGAGTTGACATTTTTCCAGGCAAGAAAATCCGAGAACGGTCATCATAACCAATATTACTGGTAAGAATATTTTCATCAAGAGGTAGCAAAATCATTCGAACACATGACAATAGTATTCGAATCACTATTGGAAGTGAGCAATTAACGAATCATCTGAAAAATAAAACCTAGAAACGATAGATGGCAGGTTATAAATAGGTAACAGTCATATGTAACACGAAGGACAGTAGTGGGTCCATGTGGACCTACCTTTCATTTTTTGTCTCTTGAGACTTTTATGTACAATACGATATGGTCTATGGCTCTCACTAGCAGACTAGCGATTAGAAAATGAAATAATAGGAGAATGAAAATTATTTATTCATTTCTCTTAGTTGTGATTAATAGAAATAGGATTTTTTTTCAAAAAAGAACTTATTGGAATAAAAAGTTTTGTAATGACAATTTGTAACTGTCTTATCTCATTCAAATGGTAATTAACTAAACGATATATCTTTCTTTCGTTTTATTTATCTTCCGCAAAGATAATATTAGAAACTGATATGTTTCCGAATCGGTTATAACGTTGACTATCAGCATGTGATAGAAAAAGACAATGACGATTTATTCAAGTGATCTTTCTTACTTCTACATCTGCTGTGCATCATTTCGTTGAGTAATAAAGTTAAAAAACTAAGCAAATACAATTGAATTTAATCTTATCGTAGCCTCACATATTCTCATCTCCATAGAGAATATTTAGCACTAGAAGTATCGATAATGTGTGACGAAATGATCTTTCTTTAACATCACACGACCTATTGTGCGGTTATGTAAGACTAGACGTAAAAGAGAATACATTTGTACGATTATCAGTTAGTAAAACTTAACATGAATATTTTCATTAGTATAAGTTGAATAATTCTGAATGCAACTTCTCTACAAAGCATCAAGACTCATCGTGATATTCATTGAAATAGAAAGAAGAAAAATGAATCGATGAAGATTTTATTATTTTAATAAATTTAAATATATATTAATTCTTTTTGATAAACATATAAATTTCATTTTACTTTCTTCTTTTTCATTGTGATTCTATTTAGAAAATAATCATGTCATCGATGATTTAGCTTTTTTTTGTGAATACTTATAGTACTATACTCATATTGTATTCATCTTATTGGCGAAAAAAAAAAGAAAGAATAAGAGATAATTCCAAGATGAAGGGTATTTCTTCTCCATACTGATAAAATAAAAGACTGAGCATTATCCGTTCTTAGATATATTCTTTTCCAAGAAAGAACAGAACATACGAATCTATGCACTTTTGCAGCTAGATGTAGATGCAGATGTACATTGACCTCTCTCTCTTCCTCTCGTCTATTTCTATTCGAGAGAAGAGAATATATTCTATGTTATAACAGAACACATTTTTTTTCTCATTGATAATCTTTTTGTTTTAGTTTTAGATTAAAATGAAGACAAATCGAATGAATATTTTATTATTAATTTTAATAAATTGTATTTTTCCATATGTATTGTCATTAGCTGAAGAAAAATTACAAGTAATGACAACAAAAAAAATTGAAAATTGTAATAGAAGATCAAAAGTGGGCGATACATTATATATGCAATATACAGTAAATTTTTTCTCACTTTTTATTTTTATGATTTATTTTTCAAATAAAATGCTTAAAGGGTATTTTGAAATCTAATGGCCAAAAATTTGATTCATCATATGATCGCGGTCATCCATTTGTTTTTAAAATTGGTTTTCAACAAGCTATTAAAGGATGGGATCAAGGTTTACTCAAGTAAATACTTTATTTTTATTAGCAAATTCATTTTTTTCTCTTTTCTGTTTCCAAGTATATGTGAAGGTGAAGAACGTAAATTAATTATTCCTCCATCGTATGCCTATGGAGATGTTGGTGCTGGTGATGTTATTCCGCCTGGTGCAACTCTTCTTATGGATGTTTTATGTGAAAAAATTGAAAATGATTCGAGTTAATTATTTTAGTCATCTTTTTATCATCAGTTTTTAACAAGATTTCTTTTTCTTCCTTTGCTTCTTCCTTATTCATTCAACTATTTAATAAAATTCTTATAGTATTTAAATATAATTATTAACTTATTCGTTATTACTTACGTTAGTTACAACTATCTAGTAACTGATGAATAGTTGTTATTTAATGTGATATTCAGCATTTGACTAAAAGCTGATAAAGTATAATATATTATTTCTTTTGGATAAATAATTCTCTTATTTGAATGATTAGTTTTAATAAAATCATTTATTGATATAAAATCTACGTGAATGACAGATTTATTTAAAAAATAACAGAAAAAATAAAACTATAAAAATAAAAGCAAAAAAATAGCGGAAGATTCATTCGCTATAAATCTTACTTGATGATATTATTTTTATTTTTATTATTATTATTCAATATTCCAAAAGAAATTTTTGGAATATATTGTATTTATTCCGAAGATTCATTCGAATGGTCATTAGATGATTTTAATGATGATAAATTTCAAGAAAAAATAAATGATTTTCCAGTTTATGATTATAAAGATGATAATGTTGATATGTGTAAAGTTGAAATTTTTATTGATTATAAATCTCGTTTACTTATTATTAGTTTTGGAGATTCGTTTGAATGGAAACAACTTGACCACGGAGAAGGACGTCTAGATCTTTTAATTATGTTTAATGAAAGTAATACAGACGCAGAAATTTATCATGTTTTAGAATATAGTTGTTATGATCGAAATAAATGTAATGAATTATTTGTTTTCAATCATATTCATTGGCTTCGACAAGTTAATTATACTTCATTTCAAACAAATTTAAGATCAATACTTTTTAATAACTCGGATAAAACAGGTCTTTTTCTCTCTCTTTCGCTCTGTATATACATTTAGCTACTCTATTTAGAAAGTTGTTTTAACGATAAAGTTCATTTATTAAATTGTTCAAGTAATGTTTGTTCAGGAAAATATTCAACTTATCATAAAAATTATTTATTTCAATGTCATCAAAATTCGAAAGCATCTATTGAAGTTCATATAATAACTAATATGATTGTTATTGAAGAAAATTATTCGAATGATATTTATATTGGTGAATATAGAATTATCAGTTATACATGTAAATTTAATCAATGTAACAATCAATTATTAACTGATAAATTAATTGACATTGTTGAAAAAGAATATCAATTATTATCAATGAAAAATATACTTTTAGAATCTTATTCATTAAATAAAATTCAAACAACATATTCGAATATGTTCGATTTTACCTATAAAATGAAATCAACAACAGCAAAAAATAAATTTTCACCATCAAAAACATATTTTTTTCATAATAATGCAAAAACAAATTCTTATTTCTCTCATTTCATTCATTTTATTGTTTTTATTTATTTTATTTAATAATAATAAATATTTAAATATAATAGATCATTTTTTTTCTTTTATTAACAATAATGCTTATTTCTTAGAATTAATATGAATATCATGTTCGATCATCATAAATTTTATGCTTGAAATATTTATTATGTTATATATGATCTATTATAGTTAATTAAAGTTTTATTTAAGAAAATTTCTTAACGTATAGAATCTTCTTCTAGAAATGTGAACTACTAAAAGACAAATTTTATTTCATTGATTACGTTGTATTCTTCCATTCGATAAATTTGAATTAAAAATAAAACGACAAAGAATTATGTTAATCAAATTCATACATGATTAGTATTATTTTTTAAATTATCAATATTTGAAAGAGAAAAAAACGACCAATTGAACTATTTGACGATAATTTAATTATTTTATCGTTTTATTTAATAATAAATTTATATAATATTACAAAAAAAACTGTAAAGTTTTAAACTTGATGATATTAAAATGGAAATACAATAAAAAAAGAAAATTTATTTTTTTTTAATAGCAGTGGGTCTTGTGGGTCGACTATCTTCAACAGCTCTTGATAATTCACTTATTCTAATATCTTTTAATTGAAGAACATGTTCAAGACGACGAATTTTCGCATGAAGAATTTCAATATCTTCTTGTTGTTTTAAACATTGTTGTTTTATTTCTTCATAATCAAGACGAGATATATCTTTTTGTGGTAAATTATTTATTTTAGCTGATTTATTTGTTTGATTTATTTTTGATATTGATCTTGTTGTTGTTGAATTTGATGTTATATGTGAAAGAGATGATTGACGTGGTGTTATTGTTGGATTTTGTTGATGTTGCTGTTGCATTTTTTGTTGTAATTCTAATTCTTCATCGATTTTAAGTCTTAAATTAAATAGAAGGACTTCAATAAGACCTGGTTTCCCATTAGAAAGACCATTTATAATAACATCTGGTAAATCGAGACCAAAATTTGATAAAATTTTCTTATTTAATATTCCCCAATTAGCTTTTTTTTGTTGTAAAGAATTAGCTGGTGTATAATTATGCATTTCAACTAAATCAGGTAAATAGTAACGAATGATTTCAGCAATTAATAAACCTTTGATAATTATAGAAATTAATTCAAATTAATTCGAAAATTTAAAAAAATTGAGAATTACCATCAGAAAAATCTCGTTCAATTCTTTTCTTTGGTCTTGATAACGGAAGACTATCAATCCATATATATAAGTCTTCTAAAAGACTTTCATCTAATTCCATTTCCCATGACATATTTCTATTGTTGAATAAATAATTGCGTTGCTATTGATGACAACGATAACTTACTTGTTTCTCTTCTTCTATTATTATGATTAAAGAGCAGAAGAAAAAAAGAATTTTTCTTTTTCTTGTTCTTGTTCTCTTTCTTCTTCTCGTTACCTATGAGAATAAGTGATTGCTGCTGTTCAAGAAAACAGAAAAGAACTTAACAACAATATATAAAGACAATCATCGATGGCAACCTTTTACATTGATTTTATTCCACGCGAGAAGAAAAAACCAACATAAACAAGAGTAAACGTCTTTTTAGTTTCAAATTCTTCTCGTTTTTTTCTAGAAAATCAAATTTCTCTTTTTTCCTCAATTACAAAAACAAAAAAACAAATAAATAAATAATATTGAATGAATTTCGTTTTCAATAAAACTAATAAAAAAGAAATAAATATTAAATATTTGATTATAAAATTCATATTTGTTTCTTTAGAGTTAATCATATTAAAATAAATCGACAAAAGACTTAACTTTAATCAAATTATTATAATAAATAAATGTGGAAACTTCGGATTTCATCCGAGAGCTATGTGTACTGCAAAAAATGTATGCGACATATGAGTCATTCTAGAATGCCTGAACACGAAAATTATCATGAGAAACTAGACAATTTGATTTCTGGATGGAGTTTTTGTGAATTTTGAGACGTTTTTCAGGCGATGTTTCGTTAGAAAGCTATGACTTAGTTCAAAACTAATATCAGATTTAGAATCAGCGTTAAAAACTGAGTCGATTTATATATGTTGTGAATAATTCTGAGAAAATTGTTTTTTTGAAAAATCCCTGTACTCCCCCTCAGGGATGGTCTGATCAAAAATGACAATTTTTTCGACAACTCAGCCATTTCTTGACGGATCCTTCTCATCTTCGAACTCGACCTAGATATTGATAAGCCAATTCTGTGCACAAAATTTCAGCTCAATCGAATGTAATTGTGAAGAGTTATCGAATAAACGGACGGCCGGACGGCCGGACACACTGACCGATTCTATAGTGTACTCTTTTTTTTTTTTGAGTACACAAAAAATGATTGTTTATCTTTGTCTTATTCTTTTGATAAAAACTCGTACTTTGCTTTTCTATGAATATTTTATCATCTCATTTTATTCATTTATGAAAATAATCAGAAAAATAAATTTCATTAAATATCGAAAGTCTATTGAACTTCGATAAACTATTGAAATAACACGCGATATGCCGATGAAAGTGTATTCAATTTTTATTATCTGTTACGACAAATTAAATAGTTTCATAGCAAACATCAATAATATGCTAAGTTTTTTCTTGTAGCTGTTGAAAATCTTCCGTTCATAAAATTGTTTTTCTTTAATCTTAGAAAAATGTCTCTCTTCGTTGATTAATAATTGTTTAGTTACGATTAAATGAATATATATTTTTATTCTTTTTAATCAATTCTGTTGAAATAATATTTGAAAAAAACAAATTTTTTTCAATTATATCGATTTCAAATTTCATAGTTGTATAGATGATTTTTAATAGATATTCTATTCTATAGATCAACTTTTCTTCAGCTCAACATGTTTAGTAATAATTTACCGTTGTTATTTTTACTTAGAAAAGAAAATTTGTTGAACAATAATTTCTTTAGCATAATAAAAATTATTTGTTTGTTTTTTTCCAATGAAACTTTTTTTCATTTCATTGTAATCTACTTTTGAGTTTAGACATTGTCTGTTCAATGTGAGATTGACTAATAAATATGAACAAGACGCATAATTGACGTAAGATATAAATGTTCATTGTTACGGTTGAATTGTCATTGCATAGTGTTCACTCAAAGACGGACAATAATGATAGATGAGACACATGAGATGGTACATACATTAAATTAGAGAGTATTGACAAGAGAGACCTATGTAATAGTGCAATAGAGCGTGACTGAACAACGAAAAAAGAAAGAAAAAGAAGAAAAAAGAAAGATAGTGAATAAAATATTGTTCATTTATTCATTTAAATTTGTGTGTCTATTCAGTTCGATTGTGTGTTCATCATAAGACAGACTGGCCGCTGATAATAAATCTTCGTCTCCTAGTACAGCAAGTAGTGTCGAAATATATACAGTTATGGGTTTATTTAATAGTGGAAAAAATGAAAAAGTTGAGAAAGTGAGTAAATATGAACGACATTATAATGTTCCAAAAAATTCATCACATCGTCGTTCATCAAAACATCGTTCAAATCAAGGTGAATCTGCTCCTCCCGTTCGAGCTATGTCTCAACCACCATTAATGCGTTTTGGTGCTGGCTATTTTCCACCAACAAATGTATTTAATCCAGCTATGGCTCCTAATGTTCTATCTCAAATGCGATATCCAATGACACCTTATGATTTAAGCAAATATCCATCACCAACAACCTATTCAACGAATCCATTTAATGGTGCTCAAATGGCGCCAATCAATCTATCACCTATTTGGAATAATGGAATGCCATTAGTTAATAATCGATCGGCATTTCAACAACCATTAAATGATTATCAACAAGTAGCTTGGCCTTTAATGACTCCATCAAATAATGGATATATGCAACCTATGCAATTTTAAACTTATTTCAATCTTCGCTTTTTTCGTTTTCTTTTTCTTTTTCTTTTTTGAACACTTATTCTAGTAGATTTTCATTTAAATAAAACAAGATAGTTTAAAAAAAAATATGCATTGAACCTTGACGAGTGGCCTCTCTTTTTATTTTAATTAGAAGAAAAAAGAAAAGAAAATGAGAATACGATAAATGTTTGATGATTATTATAGTTTAAATTTGACATTTATTTGTACCGATTTCGAATAAAAGAAAAAACTGTCCATTATTGAGAACATTATTCAATAGAAATGATCAATTAAATAAATTTTGATGCTTTTATCATATTCTAACGAATATTTCTTTCAACGGATATTTACAATTTATCATAATTAACCAACAGAAAAACGAAAACCTTGTACAAAAATACTAAAAGAATGTTTATCAATAATTTCATAATGAAGAATATTATAATAATTATTTCTTTGTTATATACCTCTCGACAGATTATACTTTTTAACATAAACTATTTGTCATTAGTAAGAAAAGTACGTAAATAGAATAATTTAAAAACAAAATCCAAGTTTTATAACTTTAGAAGCAAACACATCTGTTATAGTATATAGATTATAAAGAATAGTTCCTGATATTGTTACATAATTTATATCGCAAGATTTTCATCTATACATTGAAATAAAATTTTAAACCGCACAGTATTTTAACTGTTTTTCATAATATAAATTTTAAATTTTAGATTTTTTGTGGAAATTAATTCGATAAATAAATTTTATATTGTAGAAAATAGTCTATAGAATAATTTATGAAAATTTAATTGATATATAGCATAACCATTGATTTCTTCTTTAAAATTAAATTGTGGAGAAAAGCAAATAACAAATCAACAACGTTTTTAAGTAGACAAACTAATTTTCTATGGAAAACAGTTTATCAATAGTAATATATTGAAATAAAAATCTGAATTGTTTTAACTAAAAAAAGATACTAACTAACTATTAAATGTTTCAATTTGAAGAAAATATTTTTTTTCCATAGAATCAAAATAAATATTTATTTAAAAGAGAAAAAATAAATAAAATGAATAAAATATGAATTGTTTTAATGTAAAGTCGAAAAGGGTATGGACAGAGATTTTTTAATTTGATTTTCAATTGAATTTGACTTTGGCGCAGTTAGATAATTTCGTGAATAATTTTTTAATTTTTTTTCTTCATGTGAAAATTTTCTTCGTGATGAATTTAAAGGATTTTTAATAAAAGATTTTTTAAATTCGTCATGTAAATGTGATAATGAAGATTTAAAATCAATTTTACGATTTGGATTCGAACATACTGATGATGAATCACTTTCAGACGATTCATCACTTGATGGTTGAGGTGTTGCACGATCGATTATGTCTTTTAATACAGCTGCATCACGTTTTAAATCGTATCTTGTTGATATTATTGAAGGATTTTTTCCTAATTTATTAAGTCTTTCAGCAGCAACAGATTCCATTGTTCTCCTCATTAATGGATACGATTCAAGAACTCGTTCAAATTGACTTGAATCTAAAGAATATAAATTACAATATGTTACGCAACGAACACCAGCTGTACGTTTAGCACGTGTTAATAAACAGATTTCTATTTAAAAAATAAAAGAATTTCAATAAAGAATTTTAAAGAAAAATAAATGAAAAACCTCCAAAATAAGATCCATCCGATAAAGTTGTTAAAACTTGTCCATCGGATTTAATAATATCAACAACACCTTCTTGTATAAAATACATTTTATTTCCAATAGTTCCTTCGCAAATAATTTGATCACCAGGTTGAAATACTTCGAAATGTAATTGTGTAACAACATCAGAAACAAAATTTGGATCAGCGTTTGAAAAAAATGGAACTGATGATACAAGTGACCGACAATTATAATTAACAACATCCTTTTTAATTTAAAATAAAAGATATTTATTTTTCAATATTAAAGAGAAAACAAACCAATCTTAATCTTTCTGAAAGTTCATGTAAAATTGAATCTTCATGAAAGATTTTTCCTTGATAACGATGTTCATAATAATCGGATATTCTATTACGCATTTCACGAGGTAATTTTCTCCATGCCATATATTCTTCAACTTGTTTAAACTAAATATTTACTTCTTCTATCTATTTGTATTCATCAATAAAATACAAAAAATTACTTTTTCATTATATAAACGTCTCGATGTATCGAAGCTTTGAACAAGTGCTGAAACATGTCCAATTGTAACTGCATAACACATGGCTCCAATAACTAAATAATATCCAAGAAAAAATAAAAAATAAAAAAATAAATTCTTAGCAGAATAATTTACCCATGGAAAGCATAGTTAACCACATATCAACATAACTTTGAGGTGGATATCGACCGTAACCAATACATAACATATGTGAAAGTGCTTTAAACAGAGCAACTGTATATTGTTCTGTCCATGGAGCTTGTTGAAGACCATTGAGTGCAACCCAACAGTCGGATGGAAAATTTTGAAACATTGGAATCATAAATTGTAAACATCCATTCCAATGTGCCAATAATATAATTAATGCAATTAAATTAAGAATACGCATAACCATACTAGCTATTGATAAAAACTAAACAAACAAATAAATTTTTCATTGATTTCCGGTAAAAATAGTGTTTATAAATATATATTAATGAAACGTGATTGAACATATTTTTCGAATAAACTACTAAAGAGACAAACCTCTTCCCATTGATGAATATATCGAACAAGACGTGATAATCTAAGTAATCTTAATAATGAAAGTAATTTAACAAGTCGAAGAACTTTAATAGCTCGACCAGTTCTCGCTATGCTATAACCACCTGAATGATCACCAGTATCAAAAAATAGAAATAAATAATCAATTGGTAATGAACTAAGTAAATCAACCACAAACCAAGTTTTAATATAATGCATTGCTATTAAACGTGGTTCAAGTATAATTTCATCAATATAATCATTTCTTAATACACCTAATAGAAATCGAGAAGAAATTTAATTTTTTTAGATAAAAATAAAAACCTGTTCGAAAATTGACAACAATATCAAAAAGAAAAAGAGCATCAGAAATAACATTAAATATAATCCAGCGTGCTGAATTTATGTCTTCACTAAAAAAAGCAATAGCGACTGGTAAAACAATAACATTCGTTATTAATAATATTAACATAACTAAATCCCAATAAAAACTAAACAATTAAAAAGAGAAAAAGAAAATACGAGAAAAAAGAAAGTAATGATATATTTACCGAAAGTTTGAACATGGATGTATTATACAATGACCTGATCGTTGTTGTCTTAAACGTTCTTTGAGTACACCTTTTTTACTTCCAAATAATTTCATAGCTAATTTATTATCGCTTGGTTTTAATAGATCCATAAAATAATTAACTATTGTTGATGTACCTTTTAATGATGTATCTAGACTAGATCGTTTTTTGTTAATTATATGAACATGATCAGGTGAATAGATTTGATCATCATGTAATGAATTATCTTTTTGAATCAATTCATTTATTGTCGATTGAGGTTGAATTGTAACTGTTATTGGAGGATTTGTTGGTAATATAAATTCACCTTGAACTGTATTTTGATTGATATCATTTTTATTTTCATAACGACGACGATTATTTAATCCAGCTGTTAATAAAGGTAAACTTAATTTGATTTTTGTTGTTGCTGTTCGAATTTGTTGTTGATTAAATTTAAATAAATTTGAATGATTATTTTCGTATAAATATTGATTTGGACAATGTTCTTTAATTATATCAATTGATTGATGACTTGATAAATTTTTAAAAGAAATTCCTTTTTTCTCAATAGAATTATCATTCAATTTTTCATTTGTTCTTTTATCGAATGGAAAAGATTTTTGGGTTAATAATTTTCTTTTTGAATGTTTTACTGTGGATAAATTATTAAGAGACGAATAAGATTTAAATAATCTTTTATTGGAAAGAGTTTTTTCTTTATTTGATGATACATCTGGTAAAACTACTAATGAAGAAAAATAAGATCGTGCAATATTTTTTCTCAATGATGATGATGAGGAAATATCACAGATGTTTTCACTTCTATTATCGTTCAAGTCTTTTTTACTTTTAATCGTTTCCATATTATGATTTTGACCAGTTTTATTTTTACCTAAAATATTAATCGTTAAACTTCGGCTTTTAATAAAATTGAATAATAAAAAATTCTAACCTGTTTGGCTATTTCTATAACGTTCATTGGAATCTATTGATAAATTTCTATTGTTATTATTTTCAATAGAATCTTCAATCATATTTGATTGATCATTTAATACAATAAGATCATTTTCTATATTAAATTTTTCATTGTTTAATGATTCATATTGATTCATTTGTTCAAATTCTTGATTGTTTATTATTGATCCACTAGATGATCTTTGAGACATCAACGAAACCTAAAATAGACTCATTAGATTCCCAAGAGTGTCATTCGATTTTTGCTCTCTCTCCCTCTCACTAGAGTCTCTCTCTCTATCGCATTTCTAAGATAAAATGTTGTCGGTTAACGCTTTCACTAGAGTAGTGATACTTACTGATGCATGGATGTGTGCATGTCTTTTTTTTCTTCTTCTTCTCTCTTTCATATATATATATATATATATATATATTCTATTTCGGGTTTTCCCTATGTTATAATTGATGTATATGGATGTGTGTTTGTGTGAGTCTACAGGCTAAAAACATGTTTCTGCTTTTTCCTCTTGATATTTCTATGAGAGATAAATATGAGGTAGCTATAGATGATCTAGTAGAGATCATTTTCATCAATAGAAATATATCTATGAAAAAAAAACAAAGAAGACCAATGAAATAATTCGATTAACAATCGAAGAATAAGCAACAGCTGACTTCCGGCACTTGTTTGTCACGCACTAATAGAAAGTAGAAAAGCATATGTCATTAATTTCAATAACTCATCCGAATATGAAACATTAGAGAAAAACAAAACTAATATCGATTTTCTTTGTCCTAGTTTCTATACTAAATCAAATATGTCACCTCTATATACGTCTATATATTCTATTGATTTCTCTTTTGCTGATTGTAGATAAGAAGAAGAAAACAAAACCAACATCCTAATTGAATATTTCAAATGACATGAACACAATGTAATCAAGCAAACTAAACTCACTAATTTGTAATCTTCTACTACTCATGATCATCATCTAGTTTTTCATTATAAGCAATAGGAAAAAGCTCGTTTCTCTCTAGACTTTGTCGGGAACCAAACACTAAAATCATCATCAAGCTTGTTCCTTGTCATTTCCGCTTTAATTGTGTTTTGAACGAGGAGAATAACGATGATGATGATAATGATAATGATGAGATAATGAGAGATGATGATGACGACGGCGGCGGCAACAGAACACCAATTCGAAGCTTACAAATAACAACAAAAAAAAAGCAGAAGAAGCAGATGAAGAAGAAGAAAAAAAGAGAGAAAAACGCAGAAGATGAACAATTAAACGAGTCGTCAATCATTTACTCAGTGAAGTAAAGCAACTAGTTCAGACAACATGTTTTTCCTGTCTAGTTTCTTTTTTTTTCTTTTGATATGTTAAAATAAAAAGAAAAGAAGAAACAAAAAGGAAAAAGAAAAAGAAACAGAAAAAAAAGAAAGAGATGATGTTGGATAGGTGATGACAGCAATAGCTAAAATAAGATCTTCGACACCTCTTACATTGAATCATGTAGATGACAGATAAAGTTATAATACTCTAGAAAATCATCTAGATTTAACTTAAATAATATTAGATTTTATCGTAAGTTTTATCAGGCAAAGAAAAAGAACAGAATTTGGATCAAAACGAAATATTTGAAACAAAACTACATATTCTATGAAAATCTAAAAGAAATTTTCAATAACTTTTTACCTGTTACCGATAATAAGAATATGTTTTTGTTCTTTATTTTTTCAATGTAATTCAAATGATTCCCGATCGTTATTTCTCGTCTTTCGATTGATGAATGAGAAAGAAAAAAGAAACAAGAAACAAGAAGAAAACTGAGAATAGTTCTTTTTTTGCTTCCGTGACATTCCCAAATCGGATTGCATGGCGAATATTTTTCATGATAGAATCTCTACAAATTGTTTAATGTTTTTTGACACTACCGGAACTGAATCTTTTCATGAAGAGAGAAAGAAAAAGTTCTTCATTGTTTTCATAAAGAAAGACTCATTTTCAATTTAATATTTTCACTATTTGTATTTCTAATTAATAACGCCAATTTGTCAGACTAAATAATCAGCTGCTTGTTTATTTAAAACAGAAAAACAAAAGAAAAAAACTTTAATTTAACGAATTTTTTGTTTAAGCACAAGTAAAAACTTGTTTTCCAACGCCTTTTCCACAACCACCAGCATTATATTTATGAAGGACTTTTGAACCTTTGATGATTTTTCCGCAACCTATTTTAAGAAGAAAAAGAAAAAGAATAAAATGAAAATGAAGATGTGAAACTATTTGTGTATTAGCCTGTATTAGCATAATTTTGAACCATATCTTGGCATGCTTTTTCACAATTGATCATTGCTGGATTGTTACATGTACAAAATGCACAACTTGAAACTTTCCATGTATGAAATGGAAAATGAACTGTATCAGAAACAGCTTTACATTCACATCTATTGTAAATAAATTTAAAAAAAATAAGAAAAAAATTAATTATTAAAAATCTTACGTGCGTCTCATTCCACCCAGAAAAGATTTTGCTGGTAAAAAAACTCCAGCAAAAAGAATACACAAGAATAAGTAATGCATACTTAAAGGTTATTTTATTGTAAATGCATCTCTCTTGTGATATACGATATTTATACATATGAAGAGTATTTCTTATCTTTCAATCAATCTGACATGACAAGTTTTTTTTTTTATTATAAGATAACATTCTTTTCTCGTTCGACGTTTTATTTTTTTCTCTGTTAGCTTTTCTTGCATTGAATATCAATGAATCAACGACTAGTATATCTTTTGATTATTTTTATCGCTATTGAACAAGTTATCAATATTCAAATAGAACGTAAATATTCGTTTATTTGAAACTAATATTTTCTATAGGAAAATAATCTTTTTTTTTTATCTTAAGATCGATTTCGTCGTGAAACAGTATGGAAAACAACACAAGTTCTGAATTGTATTCGACGACTTCGATCAATTATAATTCGCCCTTCAAAACTTGATTTATCAACAGAAATGTTAAATTGTCTTCAACAAACGAAAACAAATAAATCGAATAAGAAGCTAAATAAAACTTAATTTCTATTCTATTCTTTTATATGAATTATAATTGCGTTGTGTTCCTTTTTCATTCAATTAGTTTAGTATTGAATGATATCTTATTATTTGCTTTCTGTTAGAAATGAATCTAATAGAAATAGATACATAATACTTTACAGTTCATTTTATCCGATCGTGCTTTATCTTAATACACATCTTGAAATATGAATTTATTAAATAATTTTAAATAAATATTAATATTTTAGAGTGATTCGATGCATAGTGATTAAATTTATTAAATTTATCCATATGAATAAAGTTGCTATCTAGATAGAATCAACTCGATTGAAAATAATGATTAATACTTCGATAAAGATAAATTTTTTAGTTTCTCAATTTCATTTTTTGTTTATTCAATAAGAATTATTAAAAAGAAAAATGGTTGTTTACTTTATTTTTAACAAAAAAATCAATTTTCAAAAGAAATCTTTGAAAAACTATTATAAAGAAAATCTTTCGAAATAGAGATATATCTTATGTACTTAATTAATTATGGTAAACATTTGTTTCATTCGATTAAAAATATAATTCTATTGTAAATAATTAATTAAGATAAAAATCAATTAAAGTGAATTAATAATGTATTGTGCAAATCTTTGTCCAGCTTCAATAGCGCCTTCAATATAAGTTATCCATTCTAAAGCACTTTCAGTACTAGCTAACCAGATTCTGTTATTGATCAACGATTGATTTCTATGAAACCATTTCGAAGATAAACTTGGCGAATAAATAGCAGCATAACAACCTTTACTTAAACTTTCTTTTGGCCAATATTGTATAAATGTTTTTAATGGCTTTTCATTAATGTTATAAAGTAACTGATATTGTTCAATAATTGATTGAATAAGTTCATTTTCATTTTTATTCAGCCATAACGAACAGTCATTTCCTAATATTAATCCAATAAGTCCATGTGGATTTTTTAATTCAAATATATTTGAACAAGGTCCTTGTTTATTCGACTGATTTATTTTTCTATCTTTCCAATAAGGTTTAGAATAAATAAATATTGTTTTAATACATTGCCCCGCTATCATTGAAGAAGATAAATAATCTAATTCGATATTTGGAATAAATTTTATTGGTGAAATTAATGTTGATGAAAATGCAAGAAGAAGACGTTGACATATTATTTGTTTATTTGAATTAAATTTTAAAAGAATTTTATCATTTAAACTATAATCAACTGATATAAGTTGTTCGTTAAAACGAATCTCTTGGTTATTAGCTAATTTTAAACAAAGACTTTCAGTTCCATATTTTATTTTATATTGTTGTGCGCCATTGAAACCATCATCAAGTGTCTTTAATCCACCAGGTATTGAACGAATAAATATTAACCAATATAATAATGAAACATTTTCACAATCACATGCTTTTAAGAAAAAAATAAAATAAATGAAAAACAAATGTTTTTAGTTACATATTTTACCTGTTAATGTTAATATTTGAAGTTTTAATTCTTGCTTGATTCTTAAATCATTAACTAGTTCATTTTGTTCAATAAATGTTTTTAAAGAAATTTTATCCCATTGTGAAGATTTTTCATATAATAATGCATTTTCTACGTTTTCAAATTCTAAAGCCATACTATCCCATTGATTGTAAATTTGATTAATTATATCTAATTGTTCATTATTTAAAGGTTTTAAACCAATTAATTGACCTAAATAATTTGGATTTTCATTAAACCACGTTTGTTCAATTAAATCAATACTATATTCTCTAATAAAAGAAAAGATTCTCTTTTGATTTTCTGTAATCCATTGTCCACCTAAATCAATTATTAAGTGATTATTATCATCATCATCATCACATATTTTCTTAGTTAATGTTCTACCACCAAGACGTGATCGACCTTCAATTATTACAGATTTAATTGATTTCGACAAGAAGTATTTCGCAGCTGAAAGACCAGTAAAACCAGCGCCAACAATAACAATATCAATATATTCTATAGAATTCATCATTGTTTTTTATTCGAATACATGACTAACTTTCTCTATCCTCTAAACATGTTTATCGTTGTCTATCTTATAAAAAGAAATGAAACGTCTCGTGGTGGTGTTCTTCTTCTTCCTTTTCTCCTTCTCCTCTTGAATAAAAACAAATCTTTATATTTACATATATTATATTCAATTTTTTATATTAAAAAAGAAAAAATTCTAGGTTTTTGTTTTTGGAATGATTAAAAAACGGTAAAAATAAAATAAAATTGGACAGTTGCATCATAAACTAATAGTGCAGATTTATAAATTTGAAGATGAAATTAAACTAAAATTATTAATCGATCGATTTTTATTTGATGACATTGAACGAGCTAAATTAGCTTCCAGTCTTGAACGTATTAATTGATAAATAAGTGCAGATTTTGTTAATCTAGGTGTAAAACCAAATTGATTAAATGTATTATTATTATTGTTCTTATTATTTTCAAATGAATTTAACTCTTTTATTATTGATACTGAATAAGGTCTTGTTATATTTAATTTTCTTCTATGATGTATATTTATTCGATGACGATTTGTCGTTATTGTTGCTTTAGATAATGATGATGACGACGATGATGATGATGTTAACGATAATGATAATGTTGTTTTTTCAGCTTGCTTAAAAAATGTATCTAAAATAAACAAATAAAATTTTTTTTGTATCTTCAATAAAACTAGTTCAAACCAATTGTTGTTGTATGAAGAATAGCAGTTTGTCGTCCATTTCGCAATGAATTGTGATGATTGTCGGTGAATGATGCAACTGTCCCATGTCCCTATGTTTGAAGAGGTTGAATAGATTTATTTCGAATTGAAGATTTCGAAATAAGTACAAGAGTTTTTGAACCTCCGATAGAAAGACGAGTTTTTTGTATTTCATCTAAATTATTCCATTCTTCAGCAATAACTGTTGCTGGTTTTAATATTTCAAAATTCGTTCGATATCTTTGTATTGTTTGATATTTCATTATCATTGGATCATTATCTGATGATAAACAATTATTTGCTCTATTTGATGTGGACAATTTTTCATTAGTATGAAAACAAGTTTTATTTTCATCTTTTTGACGTATCGTATAGGAAATAACTGGTTTTTCTATTGATGAATTTTGCTGATCGTTGGATTTGGGCACTTGTTTATTTAATGAACGCGAAGGAAAACAAGAAATAGGTGTTGCATTAACTTTACGTATATTTGGTAATGATGATATAGCACGTTTTTGTTCAATAAAAGGTAAACTATTTTTTCGTTCTAATTCATTATAAATACATTTATACCCTTTTAAAGATTTTAATGGAAAAATTTTTTGTCCATGACGAATTTTATCAAAACATTCAATTGATAATACTTTTTTTTTTGTTTTCAAGAAAAGAAATATAAAGTATAATAAAGAAATATAAGAAGAAGACGAAAACTTACAAATAGATTCTTTAACAACAGGTGGAATAGCTTGAACAAGTGTATTTGTATTTGTTGTTAATGCTGGATTAACATTTATTTCAATTAGCCAAACTTTCATATCTTGATCAATCATAAAATCATAACCATACAGACCAAAACAACCAACACGTCTTTTTAATCTCATGCGAATACTTTCAATTACATTTAACATAATACGTTGAATGATTTTCTTTAGAAAAAAATTCATTTAATTTTTGTTTTCAGAATTCCTTAATGAAATATTTTAACTTACTGGTAAAACATTTAAAATCCAATCTTGTTCAAGATTTTTATTTAATGCAACATTTTTATTAATATAATCACTAAATATATAAATAAAATAAAACCGAATGAATATATTTGAATAAGCATACTTGAATTGTTCCATTGTCCATGCTGTTTCTTCTTTAAGATCATAATATTTCGGATCTTTTTTTTGCATATACTAAGGATTTAATAAAATAGATAAAAGAATTAACTTTTTCTGATAAATTTTTATAAAGAAAATTAAACCTGATTAGTCAAATGTGTAAGAAGATTTTCATCATTATTATCAAAATCAAACATTGAAAGTCTAATATAACCAGAATGATAAAAAATAAGAAGCGGTTTCACACTTGATATGAGCATATAACATCGAATATCAAATTTTTTTCCATTAATTAATAATGGATTCATAATATAACTATTTAAAAAGAACAATTGAAAAGTTAATTAAACAAGGAAAACTAAAGATCAAACTGTTGAACAATTCTTTTCATTGGTTTAATTAATATTTGTTTTTTCTTTTCTAATGAATCGATTTCTGAAAATTTTTCTTTTAACTCTTCAATATCACGAACAAGATAAATCCCTTTTCCTATTTCAAAAAATGAAAAACAAATAAGACAGACTTTCTTTGCATATTAATTAACAAACCTTGATTAAGTCCACTTGGTTTACAAATCCAAACATCACCAGCTAAAAAAAAACCAAAGAGAAATATATACGAAGAATTCTAATTAACAAACGTTTATGTATATTAAAAAATGCATCTCGATCATTTTTCTCATCCAATTTAAATGTTTGTGGAACATATTCATTTAAAGATAAAAATTGTTGTGGACGTTTCTGCATTGTCATTGACATTTTTTCATAAGTTTGTAATGATTGACATAATTGTACTTTAGTTGTAAAATAATCTTCACCTTGAATATGATTGACCATTTGTTCACCATCTTTAAATAAATTCCAATTTATACTTTGAATGCATTGAACCCATTTTATTTTAAAATCATCAATTTTTTCCAATTGACGTTCATAACCAATTGATGTTAAAATATTTTCTATTCTATTCAAATAGAAAAAAAGAATTTATTGAACAAAACAAATAAAAACAAAACTTCTTTACAATTCTGAATTATTTCCAGCCCCGATATAACATTTTGATATTGGTTCAGGATAAAGAGAATTTTCCTTGTGAATTTCATTTTTCTTAACATGATTAACTAGTCGACTTTCAACATTTGATGAATTTGATGTTGTCGAAGGATCAGTTTTATTTCGTAATAAATTTTCTTCCGTCATTTAACTAAAATATTTAATTCTTTTTTTATTATTAAATTCTTGCCAATAAATATGATTAAATCAAATGATTTTATTATTTTTCTTTTATTTTCATTATATGATTTAAATTAAAATGATAAAAAAAGTAAAAACCTCGACGGTCAATAAAATTTATTAAAATTAAAGTTTGACTTATTTGTTCAAAATAAACAAATAAAAATCAATATAATATTATTTTCACTTTCTTTCTTTCTTCTTTTTTTCGTTTTACCTATAAAATAAAATGAAATAAAACGAAGTGAACAATCAAGAGTATTGTTACTTACTTATTACTTTTCTTTTCTCTTTTCTTTTCTTTGGTATCCTATTCTAGAACATACTATTCTTAACTTGCTCTCCGTTCTTCTCTTTTTCATCAACAAAAAACATTGATGTTAATAACAACCAAGCTAATTCTGATTCTTTTTTTTCTTCTTTTTGTTTTAATTTTAATTTAGAATTAGATCAATTTTCTTTTTGTTTTGTTTTGTTTTTTGAAAACGACATTTCTTTCTTTTCATTAGCAAAGGATCTTCTAATAAATTAAATTAATTCCATAAAGATTCCATTTTATTCATAACCTATCGTAGAAAATTTAGCTCAGAAAGAATAAACAAAATCTATATTTTCATTGTTCTACTCGAAAATTAATAAAAAGCACTTGAAAAAAGGAAAATATTCATCGATGAGAATGTCTCACTATTTAATAAACACATTCAAATTCTTTTGAATTTGTTTTTATTCAATATTATTTTATTTTATTATTAACTATTTTCTTTTACTTTGACGACGAACAAAAACAAATATGTTTATTTTCTTTTTATTTCAATTTATTGAAAATATTGAAATTGTAAGCATATTGATAATTCAGTATGTTATAAACTGAACTTGAAAAGAATACATTTCTTTTAATATAGTTAGAATAATTGTAAAAAGAACGATTCTTGCCGTTGAAATGTACACAATTAGCCATTAAGAGAGGGTCCGCGGAACCACTTGCTAGGAGTCGGCCGCCGGTAAAATTTTGATTTTCGGTTTAACTATTTTAAATTTAAGGTCTAGTCAAACCATAANCTATATTTTTCCTTTCGATATTTTTCCCTTTCGACATTTTTCCTTTCGGTCTTTCTACGGCACACCAAAACCTGCTATTTACTTTTCTCGGGTTTTATTTTATTGTTGAGCTAATTAAACTTATCTCGATGTTGTCGAAAATTCATATAAATCCGTTAAAATTGGTATTATTTATTGGTACTTCCATTGTTACCGGTTATCCAGATAACAAAATGATTCACATATTTAGAATCAGCGTATGAAACTACGTATAATCGAGTAGTTTTTAGAAAAACAAATATTTTTTCCAAAAACTACATGAATCCACGTAGTTTCCTACGCTGATTCTAAATATGTAAATCATTTTGTTATCAAGACAACCTGTGATGATAAAAGCACCGATAAATGATAGCAATTCTAACTCATTTATATCGATTTTCGACAGCATCGAGAAAAGTTTAATTTGCTCAACGACAAAGCATGAACCGAGAAAGTTACATAGCAGATTTTCAAGCTAAATGTTCAGAGATTCTAAATAAAGCCAAATTCTTACTTCTAGGTCTCTGACTCAATGATTAAATAGACATACCAGAAAGTATTCGAAAAAATGCTTCAAATTGTTGCTACGCTGTAGGTCTATTTCAGCTGAAATAACTTTGGAATCAAGCAAATAATATTTTTGTGATCAACTTTTCGTGCTGATTACGAATCTGAAATCATATCTTGTATTTGAAAAATCATACAGAATATACTCAACTGATCTTGCATCCGATTGAACAGAGAAAACTATCCAATGTCAACATTTGTGGTGTAGACTAACTATTTTCGCTCAACTTTTATCTGAATAAGAAATACCATAGCAGATGCAGAATTTCAAGGGCTTTCAGAAAATATGCAAACTAATTTGGGATGACATGATCCAACGTGGGTATTGTCAAACTACTGAGAAATCCTCATTTTAACCAATCGAAATTTTGTCTGTATATCGGTAATATCTAATGATATATGACTCTGGATAAATAAATCATTGAATAGGTTTTGTAGAGAAAACATTTCTCTATCTTTTGAGACATTTCCGAAGTCAAACGATTGAGCAGACGCGGAGGAAAGTATAAAATACTACTGACACTCTAAAAACTTCATTTTTTGACCAAATATAAATGGTGTATAACTTGCAAACGCTGGTTTTTTTCTCCGGCCCATCAGAAAGATCGAATATTTTGGATTCACTTATGGTTTGACTAGACCTTAAATTTAAAATAGTTAAACCGAAAATCAAAATTTTACCGGCGGCCGACTCCTAGCAAGTGGTTCCGCGGACCCTCTCTTAAGACGTTCTAAATTGGCTAGACTAACTGTTAAGCAAGTTTTTCCTTTCAATTACTATAAAAAAAGTTTATTAGCTTTTTCTTTTGAAAGATAAACAAGTAGAATTTGTTCTCTTCGATATAATAGATAAAAAGACGTGTAAATATAAAAATTTTCATTAAATTGAATGATACGTTTTTTGGATATTTTATTACAGAAACATTTTATCAAATAAATTAAAAAGAAAATATTCATTTAATTCAAGATAATATTATAAAATATGGTTGTCAATCAAAAATGAATTGATTACATTGGCGCCCTCTTTTTCCTTGACCGATCATAAGTAAATAGGTAAGCGAATAAAATTTATGAAGATATTTCATTGGTTTAAAATTCTAATCTTTGTTTATATATTTAAAAAGTTGCTCTTGAATCAATCACTCAATGGAAGAGAAAAATCAATGAATTTGTTAATTGTTATTCTTCTGAATATTTGTAGAATTGACCGTTCCAAGCTCGTAAGAGAAGAAATGAAAAAGATTTTCTATTTCAATATAAAATAAATACTCTAATATTTAATTTTTTTTCTCAGATAAATTTTCTGTGAATGAAGGTAAATAATTTAGTCGTATAGAAATAATCAAATTAAACATATTTAAATAGGAATTTCTAGAAAATGGAAAAGTTGTTCGATCAATAAATTCTATCAATTAATATTCTACTGATAATTCAAATGAAATAGTTTCTTTTTGTTGATCTTAAAAAAGCAATAGCAGTTCTATTGAATTAGTAATCTAAATCTTAGATACGAAATTTGAAAACAGAAAAATAAAAAATTCTTAATTGAAATGTTTGTGATAATATTTTCACTATTTATTTTAATAAATTATTAAATATTTAGATAAAAAAAAGTAAGAAAAGAAAAGATGCTAAAATGTGATTATTGTTGCTGTCGTCCATCATCATTAATAATAAATTGTTTAAAATGTAGTCCATCTCGCTCAATAAATATATGTTTTAAATGCTCATTATATGTTAATCAATTACGTGAACATGCAAAACATCATTCACTAGCAACATATAAATTAAATGATATTCCATTGGATGAAAACAATATAAGTGAATGGTTATCAAATGATGAAATTAATTTTATTGAAATAATTGAATCGTGTGGATTAGGAAATTGGAATGATATTGGTTTAAAAATGTCGAAAAATTCATTTGATTGTCAAAATCATTTTGAAGATATCTATTTATCACGTTCAACAAGTTCGTATTCGATTTATTTTCAATCATTTCTCAATAATAAAAAATTATTCGGTGAAAATCAAATCAATGAAAGTTATTTTAAAATCAAATCTTTAATTTATCCACCAATGTTAATTGATAGTGAACAACAAAAAATTTTAACTTATATGCCATACAGAGATGAATATGAAAGAGAATACTTGAATCAAGCTGAAAATCGTCTTCCCTTACTAAATAACGATCATCAACAACAACAATTTCAACAAATTGAACAATCCGAAGAACAACAAGATGGTTCAACTATTTTATTGCATAAAGCTAAATTATCACTTTTACGTTCTTATGCACAAATATTAAGAAGAAGATTACAATTAAAAGACTTTATTAGAGATTACGCTTTAGGATTTAATTATTCGCCTGATCAACAGTTAAGGATATTTTCTTGTCTTTTCTTTAATAATTTAGTTTCTATTTAGAATGGATCTTCATCAAATAAGTCGTTTTCTTTCTGCTGATCAATATGAACGACTTATTTTTAATCATCGACGTTAGTTTCAACGTTTTTTCTTTTTCATATTCAATCGATAGAAATCAATTTTTATTAGATTTAATATTGCTTTTTTTCTTCTTCTATTTTTATCAAAGGTATTAGAAATTTATTAGAAGAACTTGGTTGTTCAACATCTTCAAATAAAGATAATGATCAATCTCAGCCAAGTAAAGTTTTATTGTTTTCTTTTTTTTCAGTAAATTCATTTCGTATTAATAATAGGAAAAAAGGCTTCATCAATAAATAGTGAAAAACGTTCTCGACGTCGAGCTTTGTTAGTTAAAATAAAATTTTAATAAATATTATTTTTTTAAATTAAAGATCAAATATAGTTGATGAATCTTCATCGATATCAGATAATGAATCAAATTTATCCTTAACATCTTCGTCATCATCTTCGTCTTCATCGTCGTCTTCATCATCAACGAAGTCAATCTCGAAATCTTCGAAATCAACTAAATCATCTTCATCATCGTCATCATTAAATAGTCGAAATGATGAATTACATTCTAGCATAAGACATCGTTCTGTTCGTCGCGTTTCATCATCATCAACAAATACATCAATAAAAACATCAAATATTAAAGAAAGACTTTATACAAGACGAAGAACAAATCCATCAGACAATAATGTTAATATTCTATTGATAGAAACAAAATAAAAATGAAAATTTATTTTTATTTTTATTTTTAGAATTATTCTCAACGAATGACACGTTCCACTGGAAATCAATTGACCACATCAGAGTACGTTTTTTCTCTATCCTAGATTTGTTTAATATCGTAATGAGAAAAACGTTTATTTAGTATAAGTTGGGATTCAACAGATGATGAATTAAATAATTTATCTGATAATAATTATGAAAATATTAAAAAATCAACAGTTGCTTCAAGAACACGAAGTCATACGCCACCACATTATCATTTCGATAAAAAACAAACTGTTGGTGAAAATTTTTTTTTTCTTTTTTTTACTCTTGATCTCTGTTTTTAGAGAAATTCACCAAATGGAAAACGAACAACTAATCATATAAATGGTTCAACAAAGTAAAAAATAAAATTTATTTAAATAAAAAATTTATTTGTTTTAATATAATTAAAAGAAGATATTTATTTGATCAAAATGATGAATGTGTTTCTCGATCGGGATCAACATCAACGCCGAAAATGAACCGAATGTTAACACGACATCAACTTGTTGTGCAACAAACATCACCAAATAAAAAACGAAAATTAAATTCAAATTCAAATTCGAATTCAATTGATGATCAAAATTATTCTATTAATTGACTGATTCCTTTTTTTCCTCGTCGATTTACTATTAAAAAATTTCATTTGAACAAATGTATTAATACATTGAATTATCGTTTTCTCATAAAATATATCAAATTATTATATTAAACTTTCTATTTATTAAAAAAAAATCAGCATGTACTATTAGCAAAAGAAACATTTTTTTTTCATCAATATGAATTTTAAATTCGACAAATATTTCAGTTCGAGATAAATATTAAATTCTAATTAATAAAAACATGAAGGAACTGTCATTAGGGATTGTTTATACGCTCATGTCTCTAACAGTGACAGAGGATAGTTGTTAATGTCTGCAATAATAGTGCCCCTCCCCGTGGTTCCTACTATCTGTTAATGGGCAAAATTTTAAACTCATTAGTGTCTGTAATGTGGCGCGGGGGACGGGACGGAAGAGCAAAAATATTGCTTTTAAATTTACAATGTATTTATTAAAATAAAATACATTTGAAAAGGCGAGATGTCCCATTGTAAACTCTGGCTTAAGCCGAAGTTTGTTCTAGTTTGACCAATAACTGATACTTAATTTTGATGGTCACAGTAGTTGCATTAATATCAACGATTGATTTTTTCTTGTGTGAACTCAACTATGCAAGTCAGTTCATACTGGAATAGACAATTGAAGTTCACTGTTTTGTTGTTACTATTTATTAAATTGTATTTTTTTGCCGATGTACTAAAAAAGTCTATTTAAAATTTGAATTTTTCGAACAGCTATTGCTTGATGATAAATATTTTAATTAATTTGATAAAATTGGAAGAATTTCATTGATAGTTAAACGAAGAACAAAAAAACCTTTATTGAAATAAAAGATAATTGTTTTGTTTGAAAAAAAGAAACGATGAAATACATATTTGACAAAAACGAGACACGAAATAAATTTATTAAGATGACGATGGATTTTTAGCTAACCATTGTTTTCCTTGATTAATTGTTCCAACCAATGAAGAGAAAATAGAATTTTTTGCTTGTCCAAGAACTTTACTTGCTGCTCGGGATTTATCTCCCATAAATTGAGATGTATCTTCTAATGCATTTTTTAATTTCCGACCTGTTTCAGTATCGTCAAGAGCACTTTTTAAATTAAAATTAAAATTTCTGTTATTAAATTGAAAAAAATAAAAAGCAACATACTGTGCAACACGTAATTTCACATCAGTTACATTGAGTTGTCCTGATTGTGGATGTCTAAATAAATATATTTATTCCTAAAGATTAGTGATTTAAAAATAGAAAGTAAACCTTGCAGGAATTTGATCCATATGCGGATAAGGTCCTTTCGATTGCCATAAATGAAATGCATTTGTTGATTGAAATGATTTCATAAATGATGAGTTAAAATCATTTATTCCTTGATCATCTTTTAGGAAAAAAATCAAAAAGAAAAATTTTTATGAAAAAATTTACTTGGTGTTCGAGCAACAGATAATAACGATAAAAAATAAATTTTAAATAAACGACGAATTTCCTCTTCAGTTTTAACATCTAAAATAAAAATAACTTCTTCAATTATTTTGTTGTTTTTAAAAATAAAAAAAAGCCAACTTGATTGGGAATCTTCAAATAATTGAGTAAATCTTAGATCAGCTGTTGTTAATTGAAGTTGTTGTTTTAATTCGGATGAAAGAATTTGAAAATCTTCATCATTGTCAATTAAAATAAAATCTAAATTATTTTGTTGACGAAATAATCCGTTACTTGCACCAATTATATAAGAATTAACATTTTTATTATTTATTATATCGAGACTATGAATCGATAAATACGGATAAAGAAGATTATTCTAAATTATCATTTTCAATAAACGTTTAAAAATAGTTAAAATCTATTAATCAATACCTTTTTAAATAATTCATATGAAAATTGGCATTGATCAAAAGAAGCAAAATTTTCTTCATTATTTATTTCGATTGACACAGAATTATTTGTTGTTAAACGATTAAATGTATCTGTTAATTTATTTGTTATGGATGTTGCTCGTTTTAATAAATTTATTTTATTATTTTTAATTTCATCTTCTTCATCGTCGTCGTCGTCGTCTTCATCTTCTTCTTCCGGTTCATTATTATCCGATATTTTTAATGTTTTCAATTTAATATTATCAAAATCTAATTGCTTATTAATATTTCTATCGAAAACAATATCTTCATTTTCATTTAATTCAAAATTATTTTCAATATAATTTTTATCATCAATAAATGTACATTCATTTAATTCCGTTTCAATTATACCTTAATATAAAAGAATATTATTTAAATTTAAATTTCGCTCTTTCCTGAATTATTATTCGAATAAAAACACACAATTTGTCAATATCAAAACTGTGAAATCAAATAAAAATTCATACTGATTGTCAAATTTATATTTGAAAGTAGAGAGAGAGAGAGAGAGAATGATTTTAGTTTATAAATAAAATAAAATATTCAATGAACTTTTCAAGACAATAAGAAAGATGTTCATCAACATACCAGGAATTAAAGAGACTAGATTCATTATGGTTTGTACTAAATTTTGAATAGGTGACAATATAAATAATACCTAAATATAAATATATAATAATAAATAAATAAAAATAAATAAATCTAAACCTTTCTTTGTAATAAAATAAGTTTAAAAAGAATAAGTGTTCGACGCCGATAACGAATAACAAGATCACGTGCTGAATAATATTTTAAATCAAATTCTGGAGGATTTTTATTTAACTTATCGACAAAATCTTCAAATGGTTTTCTTTCATTAAAGTTTTTCTCTTGAAAATATTTTTCAGTTAACATTTCAAGTTCTTCGCTAATATTCCCATAAACAGGCTAAAAATGAAGTTCTTTGTTTTTAAGAAAAATCTTTGTTTTTGTTTACTACTTTACGTAAAATAAGACAAACACTTTTTTGAATTGAATTTCTTGTTACATCAGCTTCTTTATTAATTACAGTCTAAATTAATAAAATAAAACATTAGAATAATTAAATGTAAAATGACAACAAACATTAGCATCAATTTGTCTATATGAAGCAATACCAAATAATGTTTTATTTGAATATTGATCTTGTTCAATCGATGGAACATGAAAGTAAATCAAATCTTTATTTCTGTTATGTGCACCATCTGGCAAAGCTAAACCGCCAATATTTGACCAACGTTCATCAATTGGTTCATTTAATAATGGATAACTATATTCAATCTAAATTTCATTGATGTTATTCTATTTAATTTATCTCTTTAAGATAAAATAGTATTCAATACCTGATGACCTTTTTTATGATGGAATCCAATTATAATTAAATGAACTACGAAAGATTTTTCACAGGAGAGATTTTCTTCGTTAAGCATTTTCTTGTTCTAATAATAAATCAAATTGATTATCATTTTACTTGTGGTTTTCAGTTTTCGTTTTAATCCATAAAAGGAACAATTTTTTCATAGATTAAATTAATGTAAGAATAATAAAATATTTAAGTATTATCTAAAATAGAACTTTTTATGTCAATGTTATTTCACAATAGAATCACAACAAAAAAAAAACAAAGAGAATAATCAATCCAATTAAAAAGAAATCATTTTTAGAAAAGAAAAATAAAACAAAATACGTTAGTATATGATTCGTCTTGTATATTACTTTTATTTTTTTAAATAAAAATTATCCAAGAAACGCGAGTGACAACAGTGATAGTGATAGATAGATGTGCAGTAACATGTCATTAGACGTACGCTCGTCGTGTCATTCTACATTCTACCGATACATGTGTCGCTAGCGTGTCAGAGTAACATATGCGTGAGATCGGAGAGTAGAGGACACTCGGTGAATGTGATTGGCGAAGCCGACACTACTCGAGAGGTGCTCTCCTTTTTTTCTGTATTATATTACAGAGGCTTTTTCAATCATAATCATTTCAATGCATAGTACTTCTCTTACCCTGCAACGCAAATGAGATCGATCTAATAATATTCAAATTGATAATAATCCTGGAGTGTAAGAACGCTTCAGTTCATCCCTTGTGGAACCTTTAAGATATAGTGTATTTTATTAGGGTGCCTTCAAATAATATAACAATTACACAACTCACGAAAAACCAATGAAACAAAAACAGTAATTTTCACTGTCTTCTCAAAGATGCATGAAACCGAATTAAAGATCTTCCCTTCGAGGAGCGATGCAGTGAACTTATGAAGTTCCATCACCACAAAAAGCTTACGGCTGGTGTCAGATTGAAAACTGATGACTAAGGAACTTCTTCAAGATGATGGGATACGACATTCTCTTCGTCATTAAAAATTTTCTCATACTTTCACATACAAACAACGGAAACATAGTACGGTCATTGCAATGTACGTTGCCGTTTCATTTCGAATTTGTTTTCATAGGAAGTGAGTGTAGCAATGTTGCATCATCAAGTGCTTTTTTTGCATGAAACCACTAACGAGCTCAAAAATATCTTTTGCATACACTAAAAGAACATTAATAAAAGATGTTCATGATTCGTTTCGAAAACTTTCTCTCAAAGTGAAAATGAACCTTCAGAAGCATTAAACAAAAACAAAAATGATCCAGGAGTTCTCGACACCAATATAATTTGAATACAATTGTCATCATTTTCGTTCTTCTATCGAGCTGTATTTTTAGTTATGATGTACCTTTTTCAATTCATTTGAAACTTGTTAAATTGGTTTTATTTTTATCGATACATAATAATCGTTATGGTCTATTTTTTTTCATCTTTCAGAATTCAAAAGACTTTTTATCAGTTTGTACTTTCCTATTACGAAATGTTTCAGTGCAATGTATGCATTATCGATGGCAAATTCGAGTTTGTTATTTTATACAAGAACTTCTTCGTTTAAGATTTATTTTACGATAAAGCCAGAGGATACCATCGGAAATGATTCTTGAATTCGAAAATGATATTTTGCTTTTGATCAACGTAAAAAAAGAACTAAAGTAAACAAATAAGTAAGTAAGATTTAATAACTTTTCTACTGACCATGATGAATAAGCTAAGATTGAGAAAAACAAATATTTTATACTTTCCACTGTATGATCAAATAAAAAAGCATCAGAATTGATAATCGAGTAAAATAATATTCACTGAAAAACTTCGAGAGAATATCAGCGTTTCTTTTTAATCTAGTGACATATAAAATAAATATCTCGATGTATATATATATACACCGTGTATCAGTGTTGTTCCCCTTGTCAATTTAACAAAATCTTTGATTATTTATGAATTAATACATTCTAGATTTGAAGTCAAGTTAACCGGAGATATGTAAACTGAAACAATACTAATATATTTTGAGTCAACATAAATAGTAATGTACTATGGAAAAGGACTTAATAAATACTTAGCGTTTTAGATAGTTAGTATTGCTAAAGACATAAAAGCTTCTGCTAGTCTTTCATCAGAAGAAAGAATACATTCAATAGAATACATAGATGTTGTTATTATTCGTTCTAATGATAAATTTATTGTTGATTTCAGGTGAATCAAAATCATCAATGAGATAATGTGGCTTTAGAATTTGATAATATTGAAAATGCTTTGTCGTATGAAAACTCCTCAATTGAACAACATCCACGAAGTATCTCATCGAGATAGGAAACGTCGCTATTAATATCAAATCAAAGTAAATTGATTCATATGTAATTTTTAATTTAAAATACAATAGAAAGAAGAGAATTAAATAATGTCAAATTGATTTTAATATAAATACAAAGAAATGGATTGTTCATTGAATGGATAGAACACGAAAACTATCATGAGAAGAACTGATTTTAAAAATAAAAATCTGAATTTGAAATATATCTAATTGAATAGTATGTCAAATTTCATTCAAGCATATCGTTTTTCTCCTCTCATTGTCTAACTTTCGTTTTGTCGTAATAGAAATCAATTTATATTCGATCTCTTTTCTAATCATTTGTTCACTCTTGTATTATTTAATTTAAGTGACAATCTTCCTTTGATTTATTAAAAGAATCTGTTTTTGTAGGATCTTTTATAGCCTTATTGAATTAAATAAGCAGAAAATAATAAAATAATTAATGCCCAAGCAAATATTCTTTTATTTTATTTTAAATTTCTAACAAAATTTGATCTTTAAATTGACTATTAAACAACTCTGATGATTACGCAAAATTGGTAAACTAATTATTAAATTCGAGAATTTGTTTGTTGGTTCTATGATGAATTATCAATGACAATTATAATTGGCACATAAATCTCTTTCTTTAAATACATCCAAAATCGTTAATATAAATATGATGAGAGCTCCAGTAAAAGCTCCAGCTTGTGTTAAAAGTCCATACCAAAATAGACCTCGATGACCTGATGTATTATTGAAATAATTTCCGAGAGCAATTCGTTCATAATAGAATACTAAATAAACAATTGCCCATACAATTGCCTAAAACAGTCAAGAATTTGTTTCTTTTTAAATCAAATAGTTTTGTTAAAATCATATATTTACAATTATATATTTTCCACTTATTTCATCAACCAAAGGTGAGCATGGTGATAGATAAGCTTTAAAGAGAAGAAAAAAATGTTTGTTTTTACTTTCAATACAAATAATCTTTTTAAATAAAAAGCAGACCTGTTAGAAATATATAAAAACATGCTAAACTTCCTGATATAGTTGAAATAGTGATTCCAATAGTTGATACATTAAATAGACTTGGAAAAAAAGTTGCTATGCATGAAACAAGTGGATAACAACATTGACCTTTAAATAAAATATAGATTTTGTTTTTAAAATAAAACTAAAATAGATTTACATAAAATGATAACATAATGAAATGTTGTTGCTCCATAAGGATTAAGTGAATATGAATTAATTGATGGAATACATCCAATTAATAGAATACTTGTCCAAAGTATAATTAACAAATAAACAATTGTTCTCGTTGTAAAATGTTCTTGTTTATCATTTTCATCTTTAACAATTATTTCATCATTATTATAAGTTAATAATGAACTTTGAGCATTTTCTCCAATAATTATTTGTACAGCTGGACTTTTTTCTGTATCTTTTTTTTCTCTTTTCCAAAGAATAACAAATGCACAAAATGATATTAACATAATTATACTTAAACAAATTAAATATATGTTAACTGAAAATCGAGCTGGATGATATTTTGCTTCCTTTATTGCGGGATTTGAAGACGTTAAAACACATTCTGGTGCTTGACCAACACCCTTTTTATTTAGACATTTAAATTATTAAAAAACAAAAAAGGAAACAGTACTTTTTACCTGTATAAGACCAAGCATAGCTGGAATTAATGATGATAATGATTCACCACCAAAATAAATATTCAACCATTTCTTATCAAAATGATTAACAAATGGAAGATATGTTACTGATGAAGTACAATTAACTAATGCAAGAAAAAAGCCCAGAATTAATAAACAAACAGAGCGAGTTTTTCCAAATAATAATGTTTGTATTGACCATGTATATGAAAGTATCAACGGAACTGTTATACCAACTGCAAATATAACACATATTGATGGGACTTCATACGATCGTGATTTACCAATTAAATGACGAATTAATGCTATTATTAATGGACCTATATTTGCTATATTACTTGCCATTCCTAATTGAGCTGATAATGCCCATCCTTCAGATAATTGAGGAATTAATAATGGTAGTTCAATCCATATACCATTTAAATTAAGCCATGTCCCAATACCAAATAATCTATTGTTTGTTTTTGAATTTTATTTTTAAATAAATAATAAAATTAAAATAAACTTACAAAAATAATATATAACCAGTCAATCCTTTCATTTTGGATTGTTTGTCTTCATTTTTGTCGTAGTTTTTTTTCTCGACTTCCATTCTAACTAAACGACGAAGTATATGAAACGGAGAGAGAGAGAGATTAATGTTTATTATAGAAAATGATAAAATAATGCATGATAAAAATCAAATCCAGGGGCCTCTATTTAAATGAATACGTGAAACTATGTTATCTATTGTAATAATGTGTAGTGTGCAGTGTGTAGTTCTTTTCATTGATTGGCTATTATTTAACATCCATTCAAATATTAACAATTTTTAAATATAAACAATACAATGGCATTGTTTTTAGGCTTTTTCAGCGATTATAGATATTTATTATAGTATAAGAAATAAATACTCTTTAAGATATTATCATGAAAAGCAAAAAAATATAGAAATAACTATCTAAAAAAATTAAAGCAATATGAAAAATACAATGACATTAAATAATTTTTTCTTGATTTACTTTTATTCAAAATTAGCATAATATAATACATCAGTTAGAAAATATTATATATATAAGAGCACCGCCTGTGGTGGGATAACAAAGAAAATCTCGTCCGATGGAATAGGATGAAATTGTCCCAATTTATCCGAAGCTCTGTTGTCAATGTCAATAAATATTAAAAGAGAGAACTTATACACACGCTACAACTTAACGTTGTTTCTATAGATTTCTAAGATTCCATGCCTTTTTCTCTGATTGTAACGAGTCTGTTGAATTTATTTGACTGATACATATATTTTTCTATAACATAATCAAATGCAACTGGTTAAATTAAAAGAAAAAATTATTTTATCAGGGAACAATAAATTTAAGCTAGAAGTTCCACTTGTTTTTAGGTATCAACTTCTAAATTTTCTGTCATGACTAAGATCAAAGTTATTTTAGATTTATTCACAAGAAAGTTTTACATCGCTTTCATCTTTTTCGTTAACAGTTTCTCGCTTGTTGACTTCATTTTGTTTGTCCTAGCCTAGTCTCCTTTAGAAATCAAATCAATTTTAAGAAAAAACTGCGGTTAAGAAAAGCGAAAGATTGCCGCTCAGTTGAATAATTCTATAATTCGACTAAACATTGATGATGGTGATACCTAAGTCGAAATAATAAGAATTCGTTCTTTAGAAACATCGAGTAAATGTTGTGGCAATGATGCGAATTTTTTCACATTGATTGGTTCTATGACGTACATCCATATCGATCAGTAAATGTTTATTATCTGTCAGTTACAACTCTCGTTAGTAGAGGAATTCGTCGATCATCACCAGAGCTGTCCTGACAGCAGGTGTCTGGAGTATAACAACCCTAATATAATCGAAATTTTCTTCTTTTAGTATAGTGAAAAGATGAAGAACAGTTAGAGTTCCATTTGAAATACACAGTATTATAGATGTGAGCAGAACTCCGAATGGAACATCTCCTTTTGGTCCATCCCATCCCATCTCATAGGTCATTCAAGAGAAAGTAACTTCGTTCCATCGCATTCGCAGCTCTGGTCGCTAGACTTACATACATGTAGAGTTCTTTCAGTAATACAATTTATTATGGCTACTATAATATTATCTAACACATTAGTAGTTCGATTAGTTTTTTCTCCGTATTTTCGACTTTTTCTTAGACTCGACTAGTGCTTTACGTTGCATTCCATATTCGAGTAAAATTTGAATTTGAATGTCATCTAGTTTACATTTTTACTATATGTAGAATGATTATTTTAGCGAAAACAGGAGAATCGACCATTTTTAATAGAAATTAGCGAAAAAAAAGTTAAACAAAAGAAAAGAAATCTCATCTTTGTCATAGATATCCTATGAACATATTAATTTGAAAGCAAAACAAATAAAAAAATAATCATAGAAATATTTTATGAAGATTTAACCAATAGAAACACAAAGAAATTTGAAATCTGCACACAAAAAAACAAAGAACTGATTGAAAAGCTTCGGTTTTGTTTTCAAATATTTTTGTTCGTTTTATTTAATATTAAAAAAAATCTGTCAATCAAAACGCCTACTCTTTTCTCGATCTTAAAATCCGTTAAATTGAATATGGTGAGGGTGTTGACCACTTTTGATATTCACCTAAGACTATAATATTAAAAAAAAAATCAGTCATCAAGATTCTTTTCGGTTTTGCTGAAAGATCTATTAAAATGATGTTTGTTTCGACAAAGAAAATAAATGAGATCTATAATAAATACTTTATATTATTTACCTAAAAAAATAGAGAAGCTTTTTGAACATTTTAACATCCTTTCGTTCTTTGCCAAATATTATTTTCATCGGATTTTCTTTTTGGACACGACTTTAATATGCTATGCGCATCTTGACAGTTAATGTAATTATCAGTTTTAAACATTATTCATTCTTGTTTCTTGGTACATTATGTGTTTATGGATGTGAATAAATTTTAAGAGAAAGTCATGCACAATACTGATTCATTGATTGCATTAGCTTTGTGCTACTAGAACAATAGTCATTCAAGACAAAGCACATAGAAATGGTTTATTCACAATAAATTTTTAAAGATATATTACAATTGCGAATAAAGGCATCCAATTGATAGTAGGTGATGTTGTCGCAGAAGTAGTAGAAGAATCAAAATCAAATCCATTTTTTGAATGTTGTATTGGGAGTTTTGTTAGTGAAGGATCTTCATTTCTAAACATCGAAAGTGAAAAGGGAAGCGATTATTAGCCTTGGAATTGCTTGTTGACAAAACAAAAACGATAGATATCACCACTGAAATAGACTGACGTAGGTTCATCTTTAATCTAACGCTATATAAATTATTGCCAAAATTGTAAAATTTAGAGAAAAAAGCAATATAATTATTTTATGTAACAAATGATGGTCCTAAATATCTATAGTGCATATCTGCTTTTCCTATAATTATACTAGCTAATATATCCTGACACTATTGAAATTGACATGTATTTTATGTATTCGTTAAGAAAAAGGGAAACTATTGTTCAAATAAGATCAATATGTTTTTGAATTGATTTAGACCAAACTTAAACAAACCAAAACGAGTTCGATTCAATGTCCTTTTGTCAATCTTTGTAAACGATATTGTGACTCTGTTATAAATACTCTCGAAGACTTAGATAGCCTGTCGTCTACAGTAACGTTTGTTTTTTATATTCTTTGCTAGTTAGTATTTTCGAAAAAAATGTTTTTAATCATTTTTGTACGTTGATATATTCCTCTCGGCCTTCAAATTGTGAAACATACAGAAACTACTAATTATTCCGTAAATATCATTATAAATATAGTAATAACGAGCACAATGTTTTCACTAGCGAACTTAGAAATAAATAATCACAATTTCTAAAATATGTTTTTAATCATTTAGAGAAATCATTTGAATTAAAAAATCGGTTAGAATTCTGGTTCTTCATTTCGAAAAAATTGAAACTATCTGACTGTACATTTCACATAACTAAATTGATGAAAAATGCACTATTGAAAAATTCCAATCAATGCTTTTGCGATTTCCCTCATTGCACATCTACACACACGCAGCCGAATAAATTCGAATTCTAGTTATAGAAATCTGAATAATCGAGAGTTACTTCGAGAGAAACTACTGTTGATTTACATTCTAGTCTGAAAATGTAATACGAAGAAGTTCATACTCAATCGTCTATACACTTTTTTTCTTTCGTTGTGTAACGACTGAATATATGAGTGAGAGAATAAACGAGCGAAGAATACTCACCTGGTATTGCGACCGCCGTTTCAGACGAGTAACACAATGCAGCTATAGCAACAAACAGTCACCGCACGAATTTCTTTCCTGTTGTAGATCTAAAAAATAATTTTTACGCGAAGAAAAACAATATATAATATGAATATGTCAATAGATATTTTTCCGTCGAATGACAATAACGAGAACAATATCATATTATATATATTTATATATTCATAGATTGGAAATAGATGAAATTGAATAAATGAGAGCAACAATTATTACAAATCAACAACTTTAATATGAACGATATTCATATACTCGATCTACCTGATGAAATGTTACGTATCATTTTTAATAAATTAAATGCAACAGATATGCTGTATTCATTGGTTAATGTAAATCAACGACTTGATCGAGTAGTACTCGATCCTCTTAATGTAAAATATCTCGACTTCGTGACTAAACCATTCTATATTCGTAATCTCTCGATACATGCTCAGATTCTTCACAAAATGCGTGAAAATATTTTGCCTCGAATTAAGGACAAAGTAAAAAAGTTGACTGTTGATCCAATTTCTATGAAATTTATTCTTGGTGTTGTTCGTTATTCTCAACTATATTCATTACCATTAATCGATTATAAACCAAAAATACTCTTACAACATTTATCAAGTAGGATATTGAATTTCATTGTGTTTTGATGCCTTCATTTATATTATAGATGATACCTCATTGCATCTTGTTATGAATCAAATAACCCATATGAATGTTGAAGGATTTCTTGACGACAACGAACTACTAGTCGAAGACGAATTAAATATATTTGCAATGATACTATCATTCAGCAGATGTTTAATTGATTTGACTTATCGTATGCATTACTCAAGAAAATATTTCAGAATGCCATCTTTAATCATTTCAAATACATGCTGTTTATCTAAAGCTCTCACTAAATTGACAATCTATGTTAATATTTTTGATGATTGTCTTTATCTTCTTAATGGATGTCTCGAATATTTATCTACGCTGATCATTCGTATCAATAAAATTGACCGTTCGTCATTAAGCATAGATCGAACGGTGAGTAGATATGCGCGCATTAGAACTTGATAATAGTTATATTAAAAAATAGCAAGTTTTCGTTTATGCTTTCATATACGTTTAATTGTTGAATATATATCTCATAATCATCACTATCTTTAAAGTCTTAAGATTTTCTTTTTTTCTTTAGAAAAAACTTTTCAAATTAAAATATTTCACTTTGACAACACCGCGCCATACAAGATCTTACAATGAAGAACTTGTTCCATTACTTCGTCGAATGGTAAATCTAGAAGAATTAACGTTATATCTTTCGGTAGTAAGAAATAATTCAACCTATGTCGATGGTGATGAATTATATGATGACGTTCTTAAGTATATGCCACGGCTAAACAAATTTATCTTTAATATTCATACTTATGTTGCTGGTTATCGTTCAATCAATCTTCCATCGAATATTGATATTCGGAATAGTTTTATTAGAAGAGGATATCCATCTATCGATGCATGGGCTGATGAGAAATTTATACTTAGCAGAAACAACTGTCATGTTTATTCTCTTCCGTATGGATTCGATGATTTTTTATTTATGACAAGCTGTTTTCAAGGTAGTCGATTCGATAAAGTTCGAAAGGTATCATTTTACGACGATTATTCACTTGAACACCAATTCTTCACGATAATTTCAGAAGCGTTTCCTTTTCTTCAACACTTAATCATATATAATTCTTCACCGCTGATAAATAACCAAAATTATGCATCAAAGTCAATTTCATTCAACCATTTGGCTGTACTCGATATTCTGGATGCACATATTGACTATGTTGTTCAGTTTCTTTCTGATAAAAATACTCATTTGCCTCATTTGGCGGATCTCGCAGTTAAATATGAAAAATTAGTCGTTGCGACAAATAATTTTACTAATAATACAACACGTCGTAATTGCACTAATATCAAATGTTTACGCACCATTGAACAATTTGTTCGCGCGGAAAACTTTGATTCCTATTTTCCATCTCTGTAACTATTTGTTGTATAAAGTGTTTGAATAAAAATAAATGTAATTACTAAGAAAGTTAATATATTTCAAATACGATAAACTAGGAAGTAGTGCGCGAGTGATTGGTGACATTCTGTAAAAGTAGATAATGGGAATAATGATTAAAAATTTCATTATATAAATGTAATTGAAATAATAAATATGGGTCTCAAGTTTAGTAACACAAATAATATGCACCTAGTATGTGAATGCTCCTTTTCTTGAAAATACCTTCTTCCTCCTCGTTTTGGTGATGTTTTCCTCCTTTTTGATGATTTTGTGACGAAAATCAGCAGGAGCTACACTAGTAATATACAATTGGCGAGTATTATGATGTAGCGATCATAATGATCTCAGGTCAAAATGATTCTGTAGAATTCCATTAGATTCTCTCTTATTGCGTCTAATCCTGTTTGCAGCTCGCACAATCTCATAATAGGACTGTTTCTCGTATGCTTTTAAAGTGTCACTTAGCTCAAAGCTCTCCGTGCGTCGAATTCGGCTTAACGCATACTATTTTGCGATGCCATCAACTTCAGACACAATTCATCCAAATTTGACCGAATCCAACGACTTTCATGGGATGAGCAAAGGGTTGGATTATTTGCCTTGAGGTAGCTCTCCTTCTAGCTTCCTCTTATCGACAACATATTTGTAATGAAAGCATCATGTCTCCAGTAGAACTGAGGTAAAGTTCTAGTTCAACGTCAAAACTTGTACCTTTGATAACAGCTCAACGCCAGACTGATTTAGCTCGTGTCAATAGGTTCTTTTAGGTAGTTGAATACATTGTTAATTTAGACTTGTTTTTGGTCATATTGGAAAAATGTATTCTTTGAACAGAGACAAATAAAATTAAAAAAAGAGTTTACTGAGTAACAGTGTATTCCATAATGAATTGACTAAGAGACCTAAAAAATGAACAAATACCATACGTGTTATGCTCTCATTTTAGTTTTAACAGCTTTTTTCTTCTCTAGAAATAGCTTTGGGTACTTTTCTAAAATTTAGACGGAGCCAAATGTTTGATGATGGAATCAAAACAGTCTGTTTTAATGCTGCTGTTTTTGTACCAGAATTATGCTGATATTGAATAAATCCCATGACAAGCTTACTGTTACGAGCTAGATGAGAATTACTTAGTCTTGCTGAGGTGTGGGTTTGAATGTTGGTGTCTTCTTCTAAGGCAACACCCACACCCACACACCCTTGTCTTGTATTAAATAAATGAGATTTGAATATGTTCATATTTTATTTATTCATTTTTATTTTCATATGTTAAGAATAACGTGACTTTATTTTCTAATCGCTTGAGAGTAGAAAAAAACGCACTAACACACAAAACAACAACTAGCTGAGGCCATATATGTCCCAGTCAGCATATATATGATGACTGAACATAAAAGAGGACCAAAAAGAAAGAACAACAAAGAAGAAAAAGAAAACAGAAATATATGATCTGGTGTTGTTGACACACATCACAACATCATATTAATAAAATTGAGATATTTTCACATGAGGAAAGTACGCTTTGAAACGTTGAGATATTTTAAATTTAGCAGGAATCATTAGTTGAACTACTTTAGCACAATTGAAACGCATTGTATCTTTTTTAAAATTATTTGTCACTTTTCTTAATGGACGATATTCAACACTGAGACATAGATTGTCCGATAAGAGTGTTTTCGTATTGTCTAAAAATAATTCAACATAATCTTTATGAATGTCGATAAGTTCGAGATCATTCAAATGAGGATATTCAATGAGTGGATAATTCATTTTGCTATTCTTCAATTTTTGTCCTTTTCGATTGCTTAAAGATAATTTTCGTAGAGATGGAAATGCTTGTGCAATTTCAATAAAAAATTCATATTCAAAAGGATGCTCATCATATAATGATATTTCACGAACACGTTTGAATAATCCACCTGGAAAATTATTTGTAATATTATGATAATAGTTTAGTGTATATGGATATGAATAAATATGACATTGACCACGTTTCATTTTTGGAAAATAATTAACACAAGATATAATTTGATTGCCTGTAAAATTTGAAAACGTCCGCTGAATATCATTATTTGAAAGTAAAGAAATCTGATCGTTCAGAGAAATAATTGAACGAATATTAAATAAAAATTTATTTAATCGTGGCATATGATTGATAATATTCTTCTTCAAGTCATTCCCATCTATAAATCTATGAATATGATCGTGTGCAAGATATAAAGAAATACTCTCTAAATTCGGCATTCGATGCAGAAGTGGTATAATTAATTCATCGTAATAGTTCTGTTCTAATTGACAGGTCAGTGAGAAACATCTCAAATTAGGTAATTCTTCCTAAAAAAAGCAATATTTAATGATGAATATTCATATGAAACATTTGAATAATTCATTGAAAAAAAAACAATACTTGTTTAAATAATAATTGTTGTATTCATGCAAAATAATTTACCTTGTTGCCGATCATTGCTGATGTAGGAAAAATGAACCCTATATTAACATATAAAACGCGAAGTTTATTGAATCGACCATCAAGGAGATAAAGACAATCATTTGAGTTTTCCAAATTGATGTGTAATTCCATCAGAGTTGAAGAGAAAAATGTCGAAAGTTCATCATTAAATGAAAATCGCGAAAAATACATATAATCAGGTGAATATATATTCAAATAGCGTAGATTGGTAAATACAGTAAAGACACGTGCGCAAACAGCTGTTATCGTATCTTCTGTTAGTCGTTTTCTTCCTATGTCCGGAATTGTAACAACCAAACTCCAAATCTGATTTTCGTTAATACGACTGAGTGGAGTTTTATCTAAACATATATACAAACCTATTGACAAAAAAAAACATCGATTCTTCTATTGGCTTTAAAGAACCCTACATTGTACATATATGTTCTTTCTCAGAATTGAAAAATAATTCGAAGAAAATTGAAAATACTCTTAGCGCCATACTCCAATTGACTGTACTATCTAGCTCTACTTCAAGTTTTCTTTAATATAAACTTACCATAAAATCAATTTCTGAAAAAAGTAATTGTTTATGCTGATAGAAGGTCATGTTATCTATGATTTTACATTTAGTAATCTTTTGACTTCCAAATAATTTGAATATTGAGATGTTAAACACATTCATGGCGATTCAATTTTCTTTAAAAATACCTTTCAGAGATTCATTTTCGTGTACATCTACCTTCTGATAAACGCACTTATTGGTTTTTTTTGGTACATGTTACCAGTTCTTTTGCTCTTTTTGTTTACATTTTTGCATAGACAATCCGTTTTCACTTCAAACAGAATAATTACTCAAGCTTGGTTTTTCTCTCTTTTATACTGAGCAGTAGGAACGAGATCAACGAAATGCGGTTTCGATTTTTTTCTTTTGTATTCTTTTGTAATGTTATTTTTTACTCTTCTCTCGCGTTCATAAAAACAGATGCATTTTGCGATGCATTATTTCAGTGTGAATCACTTGTATCTTTTCTACAATCGTACATATAACGTGTACAATATGCATATAGATCTCTTCTTTCTAAAACCTAGCCCGAGACAACAATGAGCAAGTCGTTTGAAGTGTAAAATTGCGGATCACAAGCTCAAAGAAAAAGACGGACCTGCTAGCGATGTACGAAGACGCTGTGCTGACGGCTATAAAACTAGGCAACAACAACGAACAGAAGCAAGTGACATAGCAGCGAAGAGAATAAAAACTTTCTGTTCTGATTGTGACAAATACTTTTGTCTTGATTGTTTCGATGAAAAACATTACTCAATATAATAAAGGATTCGAATACTGAACAAGACGAAGTAAATAAGGGAACGTGTGACACCCACTACATAGAAAAAAAAGAAAAAGCAACTGTCTTTTGTTATTTTTCTTATAAAATATACCGGGAGCCATCGATAGCTTACATCTCTGCGAATGTGTTAAATAGCACACACATATCTTACTAGTATCATATGTCTTCGAGTCAATTTCCAAAATATCGTCATCAATTCAGATGATACTATTTTTATAACAAGCCATTCAAACTTGCACACTGTAACATAATTGAAATCTAACGGGTGGGCCATAAATAATGATGGTCTCCGTATTTCTGGAATATCTCCGCCAATTTTCATTCGTTCGATCTAATTTTTTTTTGAACGATGAGTCATTTGATTCTCTACAAAAGTGGGTATTTGCTGTTGCGTTCGAATAGATCAGTTTCATTCGCGAAAATGAAAAATAAAGATATACAAAAACTTGTACTTTCAAAGTACGAAAATGGTGATGGACCGACAAAGATTTTTCGAGATCTCAACGGTACGCTCAGTCTTCCGACGATAGAACGATGGTGCAAAAGCATCCGTGACACCGGCTGCATCAATCTATCAA